GTTAACGTGTTCTTTTATGTTGTTTACAGTTGTTAACGTGTTCCCTTTATGTTGTTAATACAGTTGTTAACGTGTTCCTTTTATGTTGTTAATACAGTTGTTAACGTGTTCCTTTTATGTTGTTAATACAGTTGTTAACGTGTTCCTTTTATGTTGTCAATACAGTTGTTAACGTGTTCGTTTTATGTTGTTAATACAGTTGTTAACGTGTTCCTTTTATGTTGTCAATACAGTTGTTAACGTGTTACTTTTATGTTGTCAATACAGATGTTAACGTGTTACTTTTATGTTGTTAATGCAGTTGTTAACGTGTTCCTTTTATGTTGTCAATACAGATGTTAACGTGTTACTTTTATGTTGTTAATGCAGTTGTTAACGTGTTCCTTTTATGTTGTTAATACAGTTTTTAACGTGTTACTTTTATGTTGTTAATACAGCTGTTAACGTGTTACTTTTATGTTGTTAATACAGTTTTTAACGTGTTACTTTTATGTTGTCAATACAGTTGTTAACGTGTTACTTTTATGTTGTCAATATAGGTATTTATCATGTTATTTTTATGTTGTTAATATAGGTATTTATCATGTTATTTTTATGTTGTTAATATAGGTATTTATCATGTTATTTTTATGTTCTAAAGGAAGAAAACTTGTCAAACATCTTACTTAAGTGTTTCCAAATTTCGGACGAACAGGTGTTGGAAGAAGTTATCGGAAAATTTCGAGGATTAAGCATATACGAATTGAAGATCGAGAAATCATCTTTACCATACCTTCCCCATGGTTTATTATCCAACATCAGTCTTTCAAAATTTATTCTTTCCGAAACAACCCTCCCCGCTCTTATCCCGCCCATTCCTGGGCCTTCCCCTTTCCAAGGTCTCGATAAAGTATTAAATTTATTTCAAGTATCCCAATGTGTAGGTCTGAACGGATGGGAATTGGGGGCATTAGGTAACCTACAAAACTTGGAGTCCTTCATTGTAAAGGATAGTGACCTTCATTTTGTTACCGACAAATTTAACCAGTTTCTGACGAAGAAGATGATATTTTTCACCATCAGCAACAACAAGATAAAATATATAGATGACAAAGCCTTTACGAACTTGATGGGAATAGAGATTTTTGATATTTCAGGAAATGGTATCTCTGAGCTCAAACGCTCAATGTTTCCTAGACCCGCTTCGAAACTGAATTTCCTTAACTTGGCGTAAGTTTCGTTTCTGATTAGTTTGTAAAATACTTTCAAGCTTAGTTTTCTACAGTTATAAATATAAATACCTCTAATAATAACATAGTTACCCCCGGGACAGACGTATTCTCTTTCAGTTACAGTTTCGTATATCCTGAAGAAAGGCCAGACAAAGAAATGTATTTAATTACGACATTTCTAGTAATGAATACCGATAATCACGCATCTCAATGACTCTAATAATAACATAATATTCGAATATCAGTCTGTAAACATTGTTCAAGTTACACATTTTTCAAGTTCAAAGCCTTCAATAAATCATCATATTTCATCTCAATGACTCTAATAATAATATAATATTCGAATATCAGTCTGTAAAAATTGTTCAAGTTACACATTTTTCAATAAATCATCATATTTCATCTCATTGTCATTTAGAGTGAATAACTTACAGATGCTTCCAGAAGATTTTTTTGAAGATATGCCTTCTTTGAAGTTCCTGCTATTACAAGAGAACAAGCTGCAAACATTACCTTCTGAGCCATTTAAGATACTGTTCGAGAACTATGGCAATTTTTTCTTTTCCGGTGAGTCATATTTTAGTCTTTTTTTTATTTTTTAGTTTATCTGATTGTACCTTCTTTTTAGTTTATCTGATTGTACCTTCTTTTTAGTTTATCTGATTGTACCTTCTTTTTAGTTTATCTGATTGTACTTTTTTAGTTTATCTTATTGTACTTTATTTTAGTTTATCTGATTGTACTTTATTCTAATACAAAGTTAGCAGTTTTAGTCTGTCTGTCTGTCTGTCTGTTTTGAATTTCGTCCCTAATTTAGCAGTGTAAGACTAGAGTGAATGCAGCTAGTCATCACCATCCACCGCCAACTCTTTTACCAACGAATAGTCACATTATAACGCCCCCACGGCTGAAATGGCGAGCATATTTGGGATTCGAACCCGCGACCCTCAGATTGCGAGTCGAGCGCCCTAACCACCTGGCCATGCCGGGCCTAGCAGTTTTAGTAAATATTTGTTTGTTGTTGTTACTGTTTTTCTTTGCATACAGTTCCCTAAACATTTGCTAGGATCTTTAGTAATTGCTTTTGAAAACGGAGTAATGGTCTGTTTCTCTTTATTTATCTCAAAGGCTGAGAGCAAACTATTGGTTAGCGTACTCGGGGGTTTATGGTCCGCGGAACTTTGCCTCCGTTTACGTGCTATAAGAGAGGCGATGAAATCCCACTATTTGGTAAGACAAGAGTAGCCCAAGTTCTCTGTGAATGTGGTTTTCTGTCTTCCCGTCATCAATAGGCTATCTGTGCTCTGCCCACCACGGGTATCGAAACCCGGATTCTAGCGTTGTAAGTCCGCAGACATACCGCTGCGCCACTGGGAGTCCCCCTTTAGTCTATCAGTTCAAAATTATGGACGACTATATGCAAGTAATTCTTTGCGCGAAACTTACGAAACAAAACTATTCAACCCCCCAAGTCCCCCTACGGAGTCTTGAGTTAAAGAGAAACAAAAAAAAGCGCTGAATAAAAAGTAATTTTATTATAGATATGATAAAAATAACTAAAATCATTGTTGACCGGTAACAACTGCGCACTATATTAATCCTCTAGTCTTTCACTGCTAAATTAGAGACGGCTAACGCAGATAGCCCTCGTGTAGTTTTGCGCGAAATTCAAACCAAACTTTTTAATTTTTATCTATATATTTCATCTTTAGGAAATCCAATAGTCTGTGACTGCCGACTTCGATGGATCACCATGATGGTTCCAAGGCCAAAAATCAACATGAAATGCGCCTGGCCTCCTGATCTGATGGACGTGTCTTTCAACGAAATTGAAACACAACAACTCGTCTGTCGCCTCTAGTTGTTGTCACACAGAAGACTCATCCTATGGCTCTTGTTTTGAGTTTGATGTATTTATGGTCACATATTTCCGTCACCCTGAAATCGATAAGAGCACATGACCGCCCAAATATTTCTATTAATCATTTAAGCATTTTAAATTTTGAATATTTTCATCTAGACTTCAATGTATGCTAAAAGGTGGGGTATTTTTTTCTAAATCCTGCAATAGATTCAAGCTATTGCGAATAAATATGAAAATTTCTCTGTATTCATGTGTGTATTATATGTATATATGTTATTTTTCTAATGCTTTCAAAAGCCTCTTTCTTGTTCACTGCAATAGGATTGGGCTTAAATTTGGGTAGGATTACAAAACAAGCATTGAAATAAAACGGACTCTCATTTGAAAAATTACTATTTGGTTAATTTGAGGTTGAATAGTAAACGAAAAATATTCTTCGTTAATAAATCATGTTAGGCCTACTTTGTACTTACTAATGTAGGGTTGTGTTTACTTAACCTACTTCAGTTGAAGCCTATCCCACTGTTCGAAGAATAAAATAATTTGTAACATCAGAACTGATGCTAAACAATGAAAATTTTGAGAGTCTGCAAATTCCTAAAAAAAAATTAAGTCCACATTTTGTAAGCATATTTAAGCGTAGCATTTGACAATAAGACAAATTACAGTTTATAGTTCAGAGATGTCAGTAATTATTTATAGCAAGACACGTTCAATGTAAAATTGAATATCAATAGCATCGTTTGCAGAGAGCACTAATGGAATTATAATATACATTATAACTAAGGTTTAAGGATGTACTCCAGTGGTCTAATGGAATTTTAGTATATATATATATATATTACAAGAGAGGTTTAAAGCTATACCCCAGTGGTCTAATGGAATTTTAGTATCCATTACCAGCAAGTCTGGTTGGCACTACTACATACTGTTTTCTGAGTTATTACACCCCACGTAAGCTTGAGCTGTTAAAACAACTCTATCTGTATATCACTACTACATAATGTTTTTATCGTGAGTTATTACGCCCCACGTAAGCTTCAACTGTTAAAACAACTCTATCTGTATGGCACTATTACATAATGTTTTCTTCGTGAGTTATTACGCCCCACGTAAGCTTGAGCTGTTAAAACAACTCTATCTGCATGACACTACTACATGTTTTCTTCGTGAGTTATTACGCCCCACGTAAGCTTGAGCTGTTAAAACAACTCTATCTGTATGACACTACCACATAATGTTTTCTTCGTGAGTTATTACGCCCCACGTAAGCTTGAGCTGTTAAAACAACTCTATCTGGATGACACTATTACATAATGTTTTCTTATGATATTGTTTGTTCGTTTATTTTCTATTACAAACTGTAAAAAAATTGTAATGTGTTTTTTAGCCTCTCTATACAGTTAAAGGCTTAAGACTGATAATGAAACTGAAACCTCACCATAGTTACAATCGGTAGATCAGGATGTAGCTAACAAAGAATGACTAAGCTTTTCGTCGAGAATGCTTAGGTCTCTGGAGAGAGAGAGAAAAAAAAACATATCTACAAGAAAGCCAGGAAAAGGTATTGTTCTCTCTTTTTTCTTTTTTCAGATTTTTCGAATATCTACTCTAAATTTTTTTCCCACTTCTTTGTTAATCCAGCACAATCCCGAATAAAATCTGTGAATCAGCAGAAGAAAAAAAAACCGAAATCTTTCTTTTTGAAGTTATCAACGTTTCTTTTCGCTGTGTATTTTGTCAGTACTGGTTCGCTTTTATGTTTACCTTCATTTGAAAACCGAATATTGGTAGTCTCTATGTGTTACCAATATATATATTTACCTTCGTGTGTAGCGGCTAAGACTTTGTTATCAGCCAGATACGTGGGTTGTTGACAATAAGTTGAATGCTTACGTCTCCACCTTCAAACCATCATGTTACCCTGTCGACAGTCTCTCGTTCACTGGAGCCGACAAAGACTGGAGAATGATGAGAAGATTACGAATTTCAGCCCTCTATCAGTGAAAATGTTCGGTAAGCTTAAGGGACATAGAAAGAGAATTCATCTCCCAGCAACAGACCGCTGTTCCATATTATCCAATGCTTCAAAGCACACAGTTAATCTTCAAAAGTATACCAAGCGTTCACGTTACTGAAATATTTCGACTATGATACTGTAATACGAGTTCGGTTCAAGTAACTCGACGGATCTCGAGTATTATGATGTTTTTAGTTTCTTCAATTGTAGTACATTTTTAGAAATAAGACCAGTTAATTACTTTTTAAATGCGGTGTTTTTTATTCTATAATTAGGCCACGTAAAATGTTCTGGGCTCGAGAGTATAATTACTGCAGTCGAGATTAAAATCTTCAGAGCCCCAAGAAAGTGCTTTAAATTTCTGGTTCTTTTGTTTCCAAAAGAAGCGATTTACTACATAGAAATATTCGTACCTTCCCTGAGCATATATTGGTCGTACTCTAAAGCAATAAGTCTTAATTTTAATGACCCAAAATACTAAATTCTTTATATCTATATTTTGAAAAGCTGTGTAGTAAACTGCTATTCCTGTTAACTGTTATATATTATATATTATTTGTGATGTTTTTTCTTTATTCGCATAAAAATGCACATTTGAAGAGAAGCTGTAATTACATATTTCTAAACTTATCCTGGAATAGAGATAGAGAACTGGTTTGAAATATTTCTAAACTTATCCTGGAATAGAGATAGAGAACTGGTTTGAAATATTTCTAAACTTATCCTGGAATAGAGATAGAGAACTGGT